TGGAGGAAGGAGCCTGGAAAAAAACATTTTCCCAACAATTTCTGATCCAGCCCCAAAGCAGCGGCACAGCTCGTGGATGGGAATGACAGGTGACTGGACCCGAGAGCTGCCAGGGGTGCCCTGTGCTGGAGGAAGGGGCCAAAACAGGAGCTCGTTTCTTCTGAACACAAATGGGATTAACCAGACACACGAACACACCAAAACTTAAAGGGCTGGGGAAAAAGGATGATGCAAAACCATTAAAAAAAAAGGCACGATGTCTCTTCCCATGTCATCCCTCCTATGTAGGAGAGTATCCCCACATAGCCCAAAGGCACTGAGAGCATCCCTGCTGACCTCCAGTCCCGGACGGGCGGGGTGAAGCCCTGGCACCCCTGCCAGGCACAGGATACTCCACAGCTCCCCTGGGTGCTCTCCAGGCCACCCACGAAGAGCCAGACCCTGGGGGGCACTGACCCGGAGCCCCCCTGCCTCACCTACACGTGGGCAGCAGAGCCCACAGGCTGGAGAGCAGCCACCCAGCTTGGGCCCAGAGCCCGGTTTTTGCAGAATTCATTACAGAAAAGAAATAACAAAACAAAAACCAAAAAGCAACCAAGGTTTTTAGGAAGATGAGTCAATTTAGCCTCAAAATGCAGCATGTGCTTTAGCCACAGTAAGAAAACACAAGAAAAAAAAAAACAAAACTCTAAGTGAGGCCAATGATGGAAAACTTCCTTTTCTGTTAAAAGAGGTTATATTTCTGAAGAAAAACAAGACCAACATATTTGCAAAGAAAAAGTTCCTTTCCTAGGAGGAGAGGTCCCTTAAATGAACCAAACCTTGCTAAACTGGTCACGGTACTTTGGTGACACAGGTAAAGTTTTGGCCATCAGGAAGCACTGCCCTCATTCCTGCCGAGGAAGGAACACACGAGACACGGGTCATTTACAACCAGCCTAAGCCAAGCTTCCTGCATGCACAGACAGACATGGAACGAGCAGAGCCTGAAGCAGAAGAAAGGGTGGGAATTCCATCAGGATCTGGGACAACACACTGGCATCTCATCCATCCCCATCCAGCCCTGAACGCTGTTGATTCTGGCTCTGGGAGTCCTGTAATTGGGGTATTACAAAACAGTTGCCGAGAGGTGCCATAGTAAGGGACAGTAGGATTACCAGAAGGAAGGGGATGCTGCTGTCTGGCAGGGATGTCCCTCCTGCCCCATCTCTCCCTCCCACGTTCTCCTGGAGCTGGTCACTGTGACCAGCTGGACCCCACAGGGCAAGGCCAGGAGGTTCAGGCCATCATGCCTTGCTCTTCAAACCCTAAACTGGGTTATTTCAGTGTGGGATCTAGTCTAACGTTACGGCAATCACACTGGCGTTATCAACAGAAGAGCAATTTTAGTATCTCGCTTTGTGGGAGGAGGGAGAACAATTAAGCTGCAGATTAACATTCCCTAAGGGGGTTTGATGAAACACATCTGAATGATAAAACCTGATCAGCTCCCCCCGTTCAGACTTCGGCTTTTTCATGCCCACAGCCTTGCTCTTCTCCGATCTCCTTCATTAGCACAGGGAAGCAAACATCTCAATCACCGCAGCAGAACACATCTACCCTTGTCCTGCAACACAGACGAGCACTCCAATATTTAAGTATCATATATGAGAAATGCATCTGCCCCCATGTCATCTTTGGTGGTACTGCTGGAATTAAAATTTCTTCCCAGTGCTGTACGTATATGCGAGGAGGCCAAACCCGCCAGGACCCCAAACCCACCAGGACCCCCTGCTCTCTGCACCAGCAGGAGCTGAGGGAAGAGCAGAGGGGACGGTGCCCAAGTTTAGCTCTACCCCAAGCCCAGCCTGCGAGGAGCAGCGCAGCTTCCCAGTGCCTAGGAGCAAACACATCAGGTACATTGAGATGAGCTTTAATCCCGAGAATGCTCATGTTGCCCTATCTGGCCTTTAAAAAAAATAAAATTAAAAAAAAAAAAAAAAAAAAAAAAGGCCAAACTAAACCAAAAAAAGTCCCACACACTCAATTTGTGCTTTTCAAGGTCCAAGAGACTCATACCCACTTGAGGCACCAAAATTTCTGCCAGCCCTCCCTCTGTTTTAACTTGTCTTCATCAGCTTCATTTGCAGAAGGGGGAAAAAACCCAACACGCTGAAAAACTGAACATACTCGGTAAGATTTTATCCAAGCAGCTCAAACTAATGAAGAAAGATCATTAAAAACCCAAACTTTGAGTTAATACATTATTATACAAGTGCAATTCAGCTGCTATGCTAATAAAAAGCCTTTGGGGAATGAAAAACAAGCCAAACTGCAAAGCACATAATTTATAATTCTGCTGTTATTCTTAAAAACACACACACAACGAAACAAGAAAAAAAAAATACTCAACACATTTTGTGTTTGGCTTCCTAATCATTGTCACTTTTCAATTAGAAGAGACCTCATTCCATTTCTCTCTGTAATTTTCCCCAAGGGAAGTGTTATAAATGCACTAGGCTTTACAAGATGGGCATATTCAGCCTCCAAATGCAAAGTAAGGTCACACTAATTTAATTTTGCATAATTTTTATTCCAGAATACGTTTCAAACTAACAGGTTCAGACATCACATTTAAGTGACACAACCTGCTTTTCTGTATTTTCTGTCTAGACGCTGCAGCTCTGAGAGTCAGTCAGCACGCGTGCAACTGTTTTGCAACTAAGCATTTTTCCCCCAGATTCTCACAATCTTGAAACTGGGTATTCGTGATCAAGTAAAATCACTTGTCACGTCCCATTCTTCAAGTTCGTTACTTGTTTGCTGCTTTAAAGCCCATGTGGCCTTGAATAAGGGTTTCACCGTAGATTGTAGCGTTGCATTAATGAACGATAGGAGACTCCTCTGCTTCCCAAAGCCTGCAGACTCCGCAATGCGCAGGCTGCGGCCGCTCTCCTGCTCAGAGGGCTTTTTGGAGGAAGGCAGCACGTGCCCTTGCTGCCCACACGGGCCTGCTGCCTGGCCACCAAGACCGTAACATTCTAAAGTGTCTGAAATGTATAAAAAATGGCAACTGGTGCAGATGCAAAGGCATCTCCCCACGCTCCAAGACCATGCTGATGGCTTGCCAGAAGCGGCTGCAGAAAGGTGCGTCTCGGAGCTTCCTCAAGTGCCTAT